GCCCCTAGGTATGCATAGTTTTATTGAGGTCAAGTTTACATACCATTAAATCCACTTGCTTTTGGTTTGGGGGGTGTTTGTTTGCTTAGGAGTGACCCCAGCCAACCCTAACAGTGGTCAGGGCATGCTCCTGGCTCTGAGCTCAGGGATCACGCCTAGTGGGGCTTGGAGGACTATATGAGGTGCCTGGCGATGCACAGGGGTTATTTCTGGCTCTTGCACTCAGAAATTACTCCTGGCAGTGCTTGGGGAACCATATGAGATGTTGGGAATTGGCTTACTTGGGTAAGCCACATGCAAGGCAAACACCCTACCCACTGTGCTGTCACTCCAGTCCCTGGGCACTTTTTAAAAAAAAATTTAAATTTTATTTTCATAAAGTTGTTCACAATAATTGTGTACAGTCAACATTTCAACACCAGTCCCACCACTATTGCACCTTCCCACCACCATTATTTTGAATTTTCCCACCATCACCCAAGCTTGCCCCACAGGCAGATGCTAGATAATTTATTTTTTATTGCTTGCTATGAATATTATGAGATGTTGTGCAGCAGCAAAAGTGCACTCCTGGAATTCTAAAATTTTTTTAAATATTTGGAGTCTTTAGGCGTCTCTGCAGTGTGCTGCTCTCCTCTGAGATTCATTTTTGAGTCTCTGAATCATGACCATTAATGCGCTAAAATGGCTTGATTTTGATCTCTTTCGAGATTTATTTATGGGTCTCTGAAACAAGGCCAATAAATGAGCTTGTGTGGCTGAGGTGGTTTGTGGGTGTGGCTACCACATACCTAATTTTTGGCCATTTAATTTCTCGGGAAACTTGGTCCCAAGTTGTTGGGGTCTGGCCAGAGGTACAGCTGCACTTTTGGGGGTATCAGGAAGTCTGAAGGCTGGTGCTGTACAGGTTGGTCTGCTGGGTGGCACTGTACCCCCGTTGGGTGCTTTTCATAATCAGAGCACTACAGTTTTGATTTGCATTGTCTTTGTTTTTGTTTTTTTGGGGTCACACCTAGTGGTGCTCAGGACTTTCTCCTGACTCTGGGTTCAAGAATAACTCCTGGGGGCTGGGGATTGAACCTGACCCTTGGTTTGCATGTCTTATTGATTAGCGATGTGAACATCTTGTACTTTAAACTATTTGTCAATTTCCTTGAAAGACATTTCTGTTCACCTCCTTTTGCTCATTTTTAGTTTTTATGGGTCATACTTGGCAATGCTCAGGGGTTATTCCTGGCTCTGCACTCAGGAGTCACTCCTGGCAGTGCTCAGCATAGGAAATGCTGGGGCTCAAACCCGGGCTGGCTGCATGCAGAGCAGGTGCCTTACCCACTGTGCTAACTCTTCGGCTCCTCTTTTCTCATTTTCAAATTGCTTTTTTGTTGAATTCAAGAACTATTTGTACATATTCTAAATATTCATAATTTATCAGGCATGTGATCTGCAAATACTCCCATTCTCTGGGGTAGTTTTAAATTTTGTGTATGCACTTTTTGGTTGTTGTTTGATTTGTGGGTCACACCTGGCAGTGCTCAGGACTTACGCTTGGCTCTGTGCTTAAAGATAACTCCTGGTGGGATCAGGGGGGTTTATACAGTGCCAGGGAAGAGCCCTACCCATGTCCTGTCTCTGTGGCCCCCTGAGGACAGTCCTCTTCAGAGCCACTGCCTGTGTCCACTTCAGTTATCACATTCACTCCATAAACCACCTTGGTACCAACCCCGCATGGCCTTTAGTGACAAACCATCATCCTCTAGACTGGAGACAGACTGGGAGTATTACCCTTTACCTCAGGCTGACTTGGGGAGCACCAAGAAGGCCTTGATTCACCAGATGGTCAGGGGACAGAGAGACATTAAACAGCCCAAAATGTCACCTGGGCCTGCTGGAGTCCAAGGGAGGTACAAGAGGCTTGAGAAACTCACTAAACCCACCCTTTCACCTCCCCTGACTCTAACCCTACTTTTAATCTATCCTAACCCTGATCCTAATGCTACCCTCGACCCAACTAACCCTAACACTTAGTGCAGCCAAACCCTCGCCCCCTCCCTAACCCCTAACCCTAACATTAACCCCAATGCTACCCAACTAACCCTAACATTAACCCTACCTTAACCCTACCCTAATCCTAACTAGAATCCTGGTCCCACCCTAGACCTACCCCTGCCCATATCCTGACCCTTGAGTGGAGCTCAGGGAGTCTGTGAGGGAGGCCTGCCCAGCTGAGTTGCAGCACGTGAAGGAGCAGCAGATGGGGAGACCCGCTAGCTGTTGGGTGCACCCAGAGAGCCTGGGCCACACAGGCACGGCCAGGCAGTTCTGAGAAGCTCTAGAGTTCCTAGGGGCTGCGTTTCTGCCCTGCAGGGGCCCTGCTACTCCTGACGGGGATCCCAGGGTCCCCATTCCAGCCCCACAGAGGAGCTGGTGCCTCCCCCCCATAGCTGGTACTACTGGGCACTGCCTCCCTGGGCCTGAAGCATGCCCAGCAGTGCTCAGAGGCCATTCCTGGGGGTGGTGCGGGCAGCCTGTGTGCCCTGCTGGTGCCCACGCTCACTGAGCTTCCCCCACTGCTCCAGCCATCAACCCTGCAGGGAGGAGGGCATGAGGGGCCCACAGCTGAGCCGCTTACCAGGAGAGGTGTTTTCCCCCAGCGCAGCCCCCGGGACCACTGGGAGCACTGACTGCAGAGCTGTCCAGCCTCAGCTCGTGCAGGGCCACCGGGGTCTGCTGGGCAAGCACACGGAGCCCCACAGCCTCTGGGTTCTGGCACCGAACTTCAGACAGGGGCTAGCTCAGGGCCTGGGATGGCAAAGGAAGAATAAAATAATTTTTTAAAGTTTTGGGGCTGTACTAAACAGTGCTCAGGAGTTGCTCTCAGCAGGGTTTGAGGGATCGTGAGGTGCCAGGAATAGAACCTGAGTCTTCTGCCTGCAGGCTCGGCCCTTTTCCTGGCCCAGAAGATTTCTTCTCTTTGTTGTTTGGGCCACACTTGGCAACACTCAGGGATCACTCCTGGCAGTGCTTGGGGGACCGTATGGGATGCTAGGATCGAACTGGGGTTAACAGCGCGCATGGCAAGTGCCTTATCAGCTGCACTATTGCTCTGGTCCCTGTAATTTTACATTTTTGTTTTTGGGGGGGCCATGCCTAATGAGGCTCAGGGTTACTCCTGGCTCTGTGCTCAGGGATCACTCCTGGTGGGGCTCGGGGGACCCAGGCCAGGCCATCTGTGCAAGGCAAGCACACTACCTGCTGGACTCCAGACCTCCCCTTTCAAAAAAATTTTTGGGGTCATCCTGTAAATAGGGGGGACCTATGGTACTGGGGATCCAACTGGGATGTTATGTTATAAAACCATGGGTCATCTCCTCAGCCTCCAGATCTCTTACAGCTCTTTTTTTGGGAGGATGCTTTGGGCCACACCTGGTGATGATGCTCAGGGATCAGTCCTGGCAGGGCTTGGGGAACCATCTGTGGTGCCAGGAGTTGAACCTGCGAGCGCCTTACCCCCATATTCTCGCCACTCTGGTACGTTTCCCAAAGTTGCTTTCGCACGCAGCCTGTGTCAATACATGGTCTCAAATCACAGCTACATTTGCTTCCTTGACTCTGGTCATTAGAGTGTTCCTGAATTTCCACAGATCTGCCAACCAACCTTCTGGTTTCATTAGGGCCCTCTGTTGTGGTGGGGAAGGTGTTCTGTGGAAACTGCCACATGACCCTGGCCACTATTCCATGCGTACTGTGTGTCTTCCAGGCTGGGGGTTGCTGAAAGGGCTCAAACCACCCAAATTCAATTTGCATGCTGCAAGTGGGCCAAAAACAAAACTGAACAAACATTCTGGGGCCAGCGGATGGCTCAGAGGGCTGGGGGCCAGAGTATATGGGGCCCAGGCTTGACCTCCACAATTGGAGGCTGCCCCAATCACTGCTGAGTTACCCCGCACCTCCCTCGCTGTTTGCTCTGAGGGTCAGGAGGTCACAGACACACTGACAGTTTGACAGTTTCTAAGCCGGCCCTGGGTCTCCGCAGAACAGCTGCGAACTGATTCTTCTGCTTCATGTCTTTTGTGGGGTGGGGGCCACACTCGGTTCCTTAAGGAACTGTATGTGATGCTGGGAATCGAACCCGGTCACCTGTGTGCCCCCTGTCCTGTCTCCAACCCCTCTGCTTTATCACTTGAACAAGCACGCCTGACCGCAGGGTGGACCCCTGGCACTACCTACTGCCAAGTGTTCTCTAGGCCTCAATCTGTCTCTGCAGGTCATGATGCCCAGGACAGGTGGCCAATCCTCTGTATGCACATGGCCCCAGGCTCCAGCCCACATTGCGTCAGGTGTCTGGGCTCTGCCCTTTGTCACTGTCTTTTGATGCCAGGGGTCTGAGAGTAGCTGGCAGCCGTTGGCTCGTCCGCACTGCAGCCAAACTTGGAAGGTGCTGGAGACACAAGGATCCTCACTCAGCCAGCTCCTGGCCAGCGCGCAGGCCCCAGCCTGCCTCCCCACCCCAAGAAAGGCCGCACCCTCGCACTCCACCCAGGATGGCTGTAGATGCGGGAGGCAACCCGCCAGGCCTGTCCATACTCCTGGCCCCCATCCTGCTGCAAGTGCGCAGCTCAGCTCAGAAAAGCTGCAGCCGGTTTCCTGGAGGGCGAGGGTGTGCACCATGGCAGCCCCAGGGCCAAAGCTACCAGCTGCCGGCACCACCCAAGGTACGGCCCAATACACACCCCCAACCCACTGACCACGGGGCTCAGACAACCCGACCCCCAGGCAGGGACACTGCCAGCCTGCAAGGCACCCCCGTGACGGTGACACAGAGGTAAATGTGTCACCAGACCCGTGACACGTCACCAAATAGCTCTCTGGTGGAAGCCAAGTTGGAAAATTCCAGGGACAAAGAAAATGCAGCCCTGGGTGGGACTAGCCGAGCCGAGGCTGGATGAACTCGGAGCCCCGCCCAGCTGGCTCAGGGCGGAGGACGAAGGAGAAGGCAGGGCCACCGGGAGGGAGACCTTTAATAGACGGCACAGACGGACGCTGGGCGCTGAGCCAGTGGTGCAAGGCTCCTCCCCAGGGCACGGGCTGGTGGAAGGAGGGGCGGGTGTGTGTGGTCTGGGGCTTTAAAAACACAACAGGGCTAAGTGCTCACTTTCCCGGGAGCAGGGGGCAGGGAGCTGGACACGTGGGCCAGCCTTGGGGGGCAGCAGTGTCTCCTTACACGTCCATTGTGCTTCAGTGTCCACCCCCGGCCTCCACCTGGGGCGGGGGCGGGAGGAGGAACCCCCACTGCGGGCCCGCGCCAGACACAGCACCCGCCCTGCTGCAGACCTGTGGGTCCCGAAAGAGCCGGAACACAAGGGTGGACACGACATGACATGGCCAGTGGGAGCAAGCAAGAGTGGCCAGACGGGGTCGCTGTGGGCGCGGGGCGGGGCGGGCGCTGCGGCTCAGCTGCTCTCGAACAGGGCGAGCAGCTCGTCGCTGCTGCTGCTGGGCAGGTCGGCCGGGCCCAGGTAGGGCAGAAGCTCGTCAGGGTTGCTCAGCTCTGGCAGCAGCTGCAGGCGGGCACAGGGTCGGGGCCAGGCTGGGCGTCGCAGGGCTGCAGCTCCCAGCCCCCTCCGCCCCTTGGCTGGCCCAGCGGTCCCGGGAGGGGGGTCAGGGCCTCAGCAGAGCCGGGGGAACCCGGGAAATGCCCGCTGCCTCGTGGGAGTGTCCTGTGGGACACTCAAGGGGCAGTGGCCTCCGTCTCAGAGGCCAGGGAGGCTCACAGGCCACCTGCATCAGGTCGGCCCAGACCCTTGGTCGCGGTCTCCAGAACCACATGCCACGGGCCACCTGAGAGTCTGGTGCTGGGCACGGGGACATGCCCCCCACCCCCACTCGTTGCCCAAGGGCAGCCATCGCCTAACCCCTGCTGCTCACTACATCTCAGGGCCAGCGTGGCTCCTCAGAAGCCCGTGGACACTGACTGACCAGCCCCCAAACGTCTTGGCACCCGGGGTCTGCACTCACGTCCAGGGCTGGTTCCGGGGCCTCCCCGCCACCAGGCATGGGGGGCCCCATTACACCCGTGGCAGGGTTAAAGGTCAGCTCGCCAGCTGGACCGGAGCTCACTTGGCGCAGGGGTTGCCGGGAGGTCGGGGAAGGGTCTGGGTGGTGCAGCTGGGGTCCCGGGGGGGCGCCGAGGCTGGGGGTGTGGAGTCCTGGCGGCCCAGGGTTGTGGGCTGTGTCCAGATGCCCTGCTGGTACCATCTGAGGGGGGAAGGAGAGCCTGGTACAGCCGCCCCACCACACCCTGGGGCCGGCCCCTGGGCTGGGCACTCACCTGGCCGGGGACGCAGGGGGTGGGCTTGTCTGGTGCCAGGAGGCTGCTGGGAATGTCAGACTGGTAGGAGATGGGGGGTGGTCCGGGGACGAAGTCAGGAAGCGTCGGGGTGCCAGGTGTGGTGGGCAGGAAGGAGTCGGGGAAGGGGCCGGGGCCCAGGAAGCCGGAACCTGAAGCAGGACAGGTAGGTCCAGGCAAGGGTCCTGCAGCTGCACACGCATGGGGTCCCAGGGCACCCTCAGCCCGCTCTCCGCCACACTGCACAGGGTCGTGGCTCAGTGCTCGCTTGCTCACCCTGGCTTGAGTAGTCGCCGGGGGCCGGGGCAGGGGGTGGCTGCAGGGGGGCAAAAGGGGCGGCCCCGGGGCCCAGGGCAGCGATCATGTCCATCACGCTGGGCAGCAGCACGTGGGCCGGGCTCACGGTGCGGCAGCGCTTCAGCACTGGCCCGTCCGCCTCCTCCTTGACGTGCAGCTCGGGCTTCACGGGCACCGGCCTCCAGCTGCATGTGGGGTCGATGGTGACCTCCTCATAGTCAGAGCTGCGTGGACAGAGCAGGCTCAGCACCCGGCAGCACCACGTAGACGCTCAGAGCCCACCAGAGAGATGGGAAAGCGGGCAAGGGGCTTCTTGTGCACCCGCCGACCCGCTTTGATTCCCCACAGGGTCTGCCAAGCACCCTCCAGGAAGGATTCCTGGGCACAGAAATAGGACTCATCCCTGAGTACCATCAGGTGTGGCCCAAACACCAAAATCAAACAAACGCTCACAGCCAGCCAGCACATTCCCACGTCCTCGTGTACACGGTGTCCTAAGACACACTGGCAGGATGGACAGGGCGCTCAGGCTCTTCTGTGGTGCCCCAGCAAGGACACGGCTGGTTGGGCCGGGGTCTGTGGCGGGAAGGGGACACTCACTTCTGAATGTAGATCAGGATGCCCAGCATGTACTGGTCCACCTCTAGGCCCTCCAGCAGCGCTGTCTTGCTGCAGAGGACAAAGGGACGGGCTTGGGGCCTTGCTCTTCCTGGACTGAGTGTGTGCCAGCCCGCGTGAGCCCACATGGTGCCCTGGGCCAGGTTCTGCCCGGAACCCCAGTACCTGGCAGAGCATTTCTTGGAACTGTGTGTGACAGGTGCTGAGGACGCCTTTCAACAGGCGAGAACCCATTCCTCACACACACACAGGGTCCCCACCCCTGACACACACACATGGGCTCCTCCTGTGCCTGACACACTCACGGGTACCCTGTACAGGACATGACACACACACGCCCCTCCCCCCGTCCCTGACACACACATATATGCCCCCCTATCCCTGATACATATACCCCCACTGCCCCTGTTCCTGATACACACACACGCAGGCCCCCTCCCTGATACACTCATACACACACTCTCCCCCTGTTCCTCACACACACACACACACACACACACACACACACACACAGACTCCCCCCATCCTTGATGCAGACACACAGACACACACACGCCCCCCTGTTCCTGACACACACATACTCACACACAGCCCCCCATCTCTGACACATACACAGGTCCCCCCATCCCTCACACAAACACATACACACCCCTCCCCATCCCTACACACCCCCACAGACTTCCCGTCCCTGATACACACACACACGCACACACGCGCGCACACACACACACACACACGCACACACACGGGCCCCTGTCCCTCTCTCTCTCTCTCTCTCTCACACACACACACACACACACACACACACACACGGGACCCCCGTCCCTGACACTCACTTGCACACGGGGCATCTCCAGGTCCCCCGCTCACAGTTGAGCTGCAGGTAGGACTCCAGGTCAAAGCACTGTGTAGAGAATGGAAATGAGGGCTGCGGACTCTGGCAGCTCCTGGTGCAGGGGCACAGGGTGGGGTACAGGGCGCGGAGGGGAGACAGTGTGAGGGCCCGGGGGTGGAGCACAGGAAAGCCCCAGCACTGGGCTCTCAGGCAACTGGCGGGGGGGCCACGCCACCCCAGACAGGCTCCGCGGGGCTAAAGCCGGGCCAGAGAGCTGGGCTGAGCGTGTCCACACAGGGAGGCGCAGGAAGCAGCTGGGACCCCCAGTCTCGCCTCTTAGAACCGAGACCCCTGAAACCGGAAGAACCCTCGTGCTTGGAGGAACGAGCTCTCAGAGCAACAGGGACCGGCAGAGCCGCCAGCAGGCGCTCAGAGTAGAGTGCTTGGGTTGGCACTCCGGGCCCGCAGGGCTGCGCTGCGCACCCACCTGTATGTGGCGGCAGTCGTGGCCTCGTGCAGGAAGCTGGATCCTGCGGAAGGTGATGGGACACTTGAGGGACACTTTGATGGCTGTCTGCTCCACACCGTCCTCTCCGTTGGGGCCAGGGGTGCCGGGGATGGTGCCGCTGCTGAAGTTCCGCTTAACTGGTGACGTCAGGGGACAGCTGTGAGCCCAGGGCTGCTGAGCAGGGCCACCACTGAAGGCCGCCCAGTCCCGCGGCCCTGGGAGCTGGCACCACTGTGTGCAGGTACTCACTCTTGGTGATGCAGTGTTCGGCGGGCAACAGGCGCTTCTTGAGGAGGCCCTGGAGCACGGAGCGCACGGCCGGCCGGTGCACCAGCTGCAGCACGAAGAGGTGGGACTGCGGAGGGAGCATGAGTCAGGGCTCAGGCCAGGCCAGGCAGCCCCAGCATCCCGCGCCTGACAGAGGAATGCCTGCAGGCCCATGGACAGGGCTGGGGCTGCTGCTACCCAGGAATGACCTCGGCGCCCGCCGGCCCCCTCCAGATGAGTCTCTTCCCAGCGACCCGGTCCCGCTGAGAGGGCGAGGCCAGACGGCGCTGCACCACCTCCATCAGCACTGAACCCCCTTGCCCTGCCTGGCCCACGGCACTCACGCAGCAGCACGCCGTGACGGTGATCTGGATGGTGTTGCGGCCCGGCTGGCACACGTGCTTCAAGTGCAGGGGCTTGTGGGAGGTCTTGTTGTCGCCGCGCTCGATGGTCAGGGGGGTGGCGTTGACGCTGACCTGCACCGACGCCGGCCAGTTGGTGTTCATCTGCCGGTCCTCGTGGTGGTAGCACTTGAACTGCAGCTCCAGGTCGGGCCTGCGAGTGGAGAGGGCGGTGGGCGGGGCGGGGCAGGGCGGGGCGGGGTGGGGGGCAGCTCGGCTCACCTTAGCATCAGCGTCTTATAGACCGAGTCCCGCAGCTGGAAGGCGTGGTTGCTGACCGCCAGGTTGTGCTGCAGGCGGAAGGGCTCGAGCACCACGCCGTCACGCACCGGGAAGGTGAGCCGCAGCTCGTCGCACGGGCCACTGCCTGGAGCAGGTCCGCAGGTGAGGCGGGGGCTCTGCACCGTCCCAGGACCCGCACCGCATCCAGGCCTTGGCCAGGGGTCCAGGGCGCCAGCTCCAGCGGGTGCATGTGTCCTGACTCGGGGTCGGGGCGGGCGCATGTGTCCTGACTCTGGGGTACCCGAACCCTCCAAGGGCAGCAGGACCCTGGCTCTGCCCCTCTGGTCTCCTGTTCAGTGGCCGGTGCCCCAGTCACCAGCAGGAACCCACCTCCAGCCCAATCAGCCACAAGGTGCTTCCGCAGCTCTCGGGGTCTGGAAAGCCAAGGAGGTGACAGGCCACCTGCTGTAGCCAAGCAGGTGCTAGGGGGTCAAGGCCAGCTTGGTGGCCCCCGGAGGCCTCTGTCTCTGGGCCACACCCTGTGTCCTGCGGGGTCCCTCCCGCGGAGCCAGGGGACCTGGTGCTGCTGGTTTGTCTCTTTCAGCACAGGAGCTGCTGCCATCTCACAGATCAGGACTTCCCAGCCGGGAATGGACTTGGGGGTCATCAGTCTCCTGAACTTGGGGGGCGGTGCTCCAAGGTCCCGGCGTGGGGCGGGAATGTGCGTTTCCCATGGAGGGTCATGCTAGACCTTGGTCCACAGACTGGGCAGTCTGCAAGTGGTGGCACTCACCAGGTGACGGGTGTAGGGTGCTCACGCTGGGCTTGAGGTCAGGCAGGAATGCAGACTTGACTTCCTGATGGGTGGACATGAAGGGGATGCTGCCGCGGGGGCCTATGGCAGGGGGTTGCTGGGGTAGCCAGGGATGGAACGGGGGTGGGGGGCTGTGGGGTTGAGCACAGGCAAGGCACAAGAGTCGGGGTGGGAGTCTGCTCAGGCCCACCCCCAAGGGAAGGTGGGCAGAAAGATGCGGGGTGGTCCCAGAGCACCGGGCAGGGGTCCCCGGCCTCCTGCCTGGCCATTCTCCCTGCACCTCCCGCCAGCCACCGTACCCCGCTCAGGCTGGGCTGGCCGTAGGCGACGCTGGCCCCGCTGAAGCTGCCACCCTGCCCGCTGAGCTCCTCTGTGGGCTGCAGAGACAGAAGCAGGGGTGCGGGCCGGGCTGGACACGGGCACTGGGCAGTCCCAGCCCCTCCCCCAGCACTGGCCTCCGTCTTCTGCCCTTTGCTCTCTACGTTTGCCAGCGCAGAGAGGAGCACACTGGCTTCCCAGTCAGGGATCCTCATCCTGGGAGCCAGGGTCAGCGCCGGTCCGGGTGTGCCCGGCAGCCTGCCAGGGCTGGGCTTCCGCGGGGCAAGCGGCAGGAATGGGACAGTGTCCACAAAGGACAGACAAGTGACGCGGGTGCTGGGGGGGGGGGGGAGGGGTACAGAACCGAGAGCTCCCTGAGGCCTCCCTCACCTTGTAGTGCAGCCCAGGGGCCCCTGACGTGGGCAGGGACTGCCTGTGAGCCGGGTAGGAGGACGGGGCTGGGTGCTGTCCAGGCCCAGGCACGTACTGGCCCCCCGGCAGGTACTGCTGCGCTGGGTACACCTGCAGACAGGAGCAACAAGATGCGGGCGGCCCAGCACAAGAGTCGGGGTCTTGTGGTTCCTCCAGGGCAGGGCGCTCACTCACCTCGCTCGAGTAGGTCCTTTTGAGTCCCTGCCGGGGCAGCTGCTGGGTCTGGGGGGGGGCCCGGGTAGCTGTGCTGGGGCAGGCGCTGTCCTGTATACAGGGGCGCCATGCCAGCCGCGCGGGCGGGGCTCATGCCTGCAGGGCCCATCAGCCCCCCGACGCCGCTTGGGTTGAGGCCGCCGGGCCCGCGGGCTCCTCCATGCTGCAGGAACTGACTGAACGGCTGCCCGGCCCCCATCTAGGGAGGGGAGAGGGGCCCAGTGCCCGGATGTAGGCCCCGCCCCAGCCCACCCTTCACCAGCCCTTCCCCCGCACGTTGCAGACCCCTTCGGTCCAGACTCGCGCCCCGCCTCACCGCTCCATACTGGCCCAGCTCCTGGCTCTGCTTCTCTTGTAGGGCGGCCACGGTGGCTGTGGCCGTGGCCGTGGCCGTAGCAGCGGCGGCGGCAGCCACAGCGGCGGCAGCGGCCGCTTGCGTGAAGTCCGTGGAAGGCCGTGCGGCATGCGAGGGGACGCCCAGGCCCGCAGGTCCCCCCGGGCCCCCGGAATACCTGTGGGAGAGCCATGGCTCAGCCCAGTCAGGGAAGTCCCGTCCCCTCCGCACACCCAGGCCCACTCACACAGCTGCAGGTGCAAGGTGGGGGGGGGGGGCGGGTGCGGTCCAGCTTACCCGGTGCTGAAGCCAGTGGTCCCCGGGTAGCCCCCGCGGCTGTACACCCCTTGCTGCACATAGCCCTTGGCGGCGCCCCCCTCACCAAATGTCGGCTGTCCGAGGCCCTGTGGGGAGCTGAGGGCAGAGCCACTGCCCGCCATGCCAGGCATCACGGAGCTGCCGGGGGGGCTCCCTGCAGGGCCCATGGTGCTCCCCAAGACCTAGGAGGGAGACAGAGGCACTGACAGGGACCGGCCATCACATGGTTTCCAGCAGATCCTCTTCATGCCACAGAGTCCCCATGGCAGAAAGGCTGGGGAGCAGAGGCAGGGAGGCAGGAAGGCCAGGGAGCAGAGGCCAGGAGGCAGGAGGCTGGGGAACAGAGGCCAGGAGGTAGGAAGGCCGAGGAGTAGAGGCTGGGAGGCAGGGAGGCCGGGGAGCAGAGGCCGGGAGGCAGGGAGGCCAGGAAACGGAGGCCGAGAAGCGGAGGCCGGGAGGCAGGGAGTCCGGGGAGCAGAGGCCAGGAAGCAGGGAGTCCGGGAGACAGAGGCCAGAAGGCCAGGGAGCAGAGAGGCCGGGGAGCAGAGGCACGAGGCAGGGAGGCCAGGGAGCAGAGGCCAGGAGGCAGGAAGGCCAGGGAGCAGAGAGGCCAGGGAGCAGAGGCCAGGAGGCAGGGAGGCCGGGAAACAGAGGCCAGGAGGCAGGGAGTCCAGGAAACGGAGGCCGAGAAGCAGAGGCCGGGAGGCAGGGAGTCCGGGGAGTAGAGGCTGGGAGGCAGGGAGGCCAGGGAGCAGAGGCCAGGAGGCAGGGAGGCCGGGAGACAGAGGCCAGGAGGCAGGAAGGCCAAGGAGCAGAGAGGCCGGGGAGCAGAGGCACGAGGCAGGGAGGCCAGGAGGCAGGAAGGCCAGGGAGCAGAGAGGCCGGGGAGCAGAGGCCAGGAAACAGAGGCCAGGAGGCAGGGAGGCCAGGAAGCAAAGAGGCCGGGAGGCAGGGAGGCTGGGGAGCAGAGGCCAGGAGGCAGGGAGGCCGGGGAGCAGAGGCTGGGAGGCAGGGAGGCTGGGGAGCAGAAGCCGGGAGGCAGGGAGGCTGGGGAGCAGAGACCAGGAGGCAGGGAGGCATGGCTTGACATGGGGTTCCAGTCTGCATCAACTTCTCACCTGGTTCGGTGCTGCGTTGCCCACTCCCCACACGGTCGTGACCACAGACAGGGACCCTGCAGGCTGAGTGACGCTCTGCTGCCACGGCACCGCCTCGTAGGCGAATGGACCATCACTGCAAAGGGAGCAGGCGGGCCCATTCAGCCGGATTGGGGTCCATGCATTCCCGTCCCATGGGGGTGCTCCTGGCTCACCTGTGTGGTGTGGGGGGCAGGGCAGGTTTCATGGGGTTCATGGGGTTCATTGGCTTGAGAGCAGCCTAAAGGCCAGGTCCACGGGGTGCAGGTCGCGGCTGCCCTGGCACTTCGGCGGGGCTCGGCTGTTCTGCAGGAACAGGAGGGTAGACTTCAGCAGCGAGGGGCGGGGGGGGGCCTTGTGCGGGGGTCCCCAGAAACCACGTGGCACCCCCTCCCCGGCACACAGCTGTGCTCCACCCCTGCAGCTCACAGGCCATGGAGGCCACATGGGCGAGGCACCCTGTGAGGGGGAAGGCCTCAGAACTCCCCTCTGGGCTCCTCTCACATCCACAGGGGACACTGAGGCAGAGGCGAGGCCCTCCCAGACCCACCTCTCAGTGCTGAGCTTCCAGAACAAGCCTTTCTGTGGTGCATGAGCCCTGATCCCCAGTGCCCTCGGAGCCCCCACTCTGACCTCCCTGCGTGCTGACCACGACCCTTTCACAGTGCCGCCGTGGGCCGGGACCCGATCTCAGATCCGCTCTGCACTGGGGTGAGCTGATGGCCCATCCACACTGGGCCCAGTGCCCACCCCAGGCGACTCCACCTCTGGAGTGTGCCTCACTGGCCCGTTCCCCGCTAGGGAGGACTCAGAGAGGAAAGGGCAGCTGAACGCCTACTCACCCCTGCACCCCCACATCAGATCCCACAAGAAAGCAGGGAGCAGCCAGCAAAGTAGTTCCAGGAGGTCCTAAGGCTTGAGCGGGAAGCGAAATAGGACCGCTGTGCGGGGAGCAGAGGGAGGAGTGGGCACCAGCAGAAACCCCCACTCTCTCTCAGGCAGGGTCCAGAGCAACCCTAGGGCACACGCCTGCAGCCGGGCTCCACGGACTATGTCCAGAGGTCCCATGCGGGACTCAAGAGGCCAGGGCAGCTTACAGACCCTGACCTGACTTCTTTCGTTGTTTGTTTTGTTTTTTTGTTTCTGAGCTACACCTGGCGATGCTCAGGGGCTACTCCTGGCTCAGGGGCTACTCAGGAATCACTCCTGGTGGTGCTCGGAGGACTCTATGGGACGCCGGGACGGAGAGCGGGTTGGCTGCGTGCTAGTCCTCTGGCCCTGACCTGATTCTGACAAAGATGCAAATGTCACATACCACTGACAGGACAGCCCTGCCCACAGAGGCAGTGAGCACCCCAGGCACGAAACCAAAAGGACTGAAATGCCACACAAACGCACCGCACACGGAGAGAAGCGGCACGGGCACAGGTCTACATGCCAACATGAAACAAGGGAATCTCTTGTTTGTTTTCATGTCTTCCGGGGCACATCTAGCAATGTCAGGGTCACTCCTGGCTCTGCACCCAGGGATCACTCCTGGCAGGCTCAGGAGACCATGTGGGAGGCTGGGATGGAACCTGGGTCGGTCGCATGTAAGGCAAATGCCCTCCCCACTGTGCAAACGCTCCGGCCCCTGCTTGTAGAGGGGGCTGGCAGGGGGACAATGGCAGGAACTGACCGAGGGCCATGAAGGTTGAGCACTCTACCACGAGTCACATCCCAGCCCTGGAAACGGTGAGCCTTTAAGGAAACCCACAGGCAGACTGGGTGGGAACAGATGCAGCACAAGGGTCCTCGGATCAGTTCACTCCCCAGCACTACACAGTGTGACCCTGAGCACTGTACCGGGAAAAGCCCAGTCCAGCTCCGAGCAATGTCAGGCAGAGCCCCACAACTGAAAAAAAAAAAAAAGAAAGAAGAAAATCCTTGGCATCTAGAAAAACGCGGACTTAGCATCAAGCAGGTGCTCCGTGAAAAGAAGGGTGGAAGGCCTGTGGTCTGAGCAAGCAGGGCAGGAGGAAGTCAGTCAGGCCATGCCTGCTGCCCCGCACCTGTCAGTACAGGGCTCATGAAATCCAGGTGCTGCAGCAATGAACATGAGGCCCACGGGGGCAGCGGACAGCAGAGAACTGATGCTCAGGTTAAAGATGAAGCCCTGCTCAGGCACGGGAGCAGCGTGACAGCGAGCCTGCCCAAGGCTCCTCCGACACGAAGCAAACTGCCCCAATGTTGCCACAGCACACCTGGACAGCAGGTCGGGCAGGGCAAGCCTCCAGCCCAGCCCCGATCACAGCCCCAGGTCTGGGAGCCACAGAACAGACAAACCAGCTGTGCTCCCTGCAGAGGGCCTGCTCCGAGGCAGGAGGACCACTGCAACAGGCACTGGACACCAGGGAGCGGACAGTCAGCCCCCCAAAGCCAACACGCTGCATGACCACCTCAATGAGATGCCCAGGAAATGACAAAATCACAGACTTGGGGCAAAGCCGCGGGGCTCTCGTGGGGAGGAAGCAGGTGCGGGCATGGGGCTGACATGCTCCGAGGGACCCTGTGGGCGTGGGCATGAGGGGCAGGGTGCTGAGGCTGTCTCTGGGGGATGACATCTGGCCCTTCTCCGTGTCCTTCCGCAGTTTTACAGGTGCTGCCCCAGGCAGGCCGGGGAAGGCCCCTCGGCCGCTTCTGACAGTTGCATGTCGATGATCAGAGACGGGAAACGGGGGAGGGGGGGAGCTCAGAGACGGAAGCGCAGGAAGGGCACCTGCCTTGCCCAGAATGAACCCGGGCTCCATCCCGGCTCCCCATAGGGCTCCCCCCCGCCCCCAGCACCACCAGGAGTGGTTCCTGAGCACCGCCCACAATAAAAAAGAAGAATAAAACTGTCTCCCGGAATGCCTGCGACCGGCCGATCCGACCCCAGATGTGGGGCTGGAGACACAAAGGGCGGGAGAGCGGAAGACCTCGGCCTCGGTGCAGGGCAGCCGGGGCGGGGGGCAGGTGGAGGCTGCCGGTGGGCACCCACCGTGCTGGGGGAATTCCAGTGCTCTGCTGTCAGACCACAAGCATTTCCAGCTCCCCAGTGGGCGGCGGCTTCCTGCCGGGTCCTGCGCACAGGGCGGGCGGGCGGCCGTGCTGTGCTGTGCCAGCCGAGCCCCGGGCGGGCGGGCAGGCGGGCAGGCGGCGTTGCCACCGGGCAGTGTCGGGTTACACCTCCTCCAGGGGCAGCTCCCCGGCACCTTCCAGCGGCCAATGCGAGTGACCCCCGCCCGGGATGCTCCGCGTCGCGCTGTCGGACGGACGGACGGGGCAGGAGAGCCCAGAGTCCCGGGAGGGCGCGGGGCAGGCGGGGCCGAGTCCAGCTCACTCACCTGTGAGGGCACGACGGGGACAGGCACTGTGAGTGCTGGGGCTCACCCGGAAGGCACGGACCCACACACTGACAAGGCCAGGCGCCACGCGGGGCCTCAGTTTTCCGGCGTGGGAAATGGGTACGCGGCGGCCACCGGGGGATGGGAGACAGGTGGACACCTGGCCTTGTCAGTCATTCACCGGCGCTGGCCTAGCCCGGGCGCCAGGGGCCCTCCCCTCCTGGCCCTGGCCGCAGGCCCCCCGCGCGGGGTGTCGGCCCCTCGCCCGTCCGGCCCCGGGAGGGCGGTCAGGGCGCCCCAAGCGCGGCCCCGGCCCCGCGGCCCTCCCGGGAGCAGCGGCCAGCGCGGGCAGAGGCGGGGACGCGGGAGACCCACGAAGGCCGGCGACGGGCGCCCGGCCCGCAGGCGGGCGGCCAGGTCGGGGCCCGCCGGTCCGACCGCCGCCCCGCGCCCCGCGGACTCACCTGGGCCCGGCCGGCCCGCGCTCAGCCCGCCGCCCGCGCCATCGCGCCGCCCGCGCCCCGGCACAATGGAGCCGCCGCGCTCCATGCATATGCATGACGTTCATGCATATGCATGACGCCGGCCACGCCCGCTCAGGCCGGAGCAGCCGAGCCCAGAGTCATCGGCGGGCGGCCGCGCGCACAGCCCCGCCGCCCGCGCCCTCGCGCACGTTCCCGACGGCGCGGACCCCTCCAGCTCGCGCTGCGGGCGGGCGGGGCAGGGGCGGGGTGAGGACGGGCAGGGCAGGGGTGGGCGGGGTAGGGGCGGAGCGGGACGGGGCGGGGTAGGAGCGGGGAGGAGCTGGGTTGCCGGGAGGGCAGGGCAGGGCTTTCGGGGGCGGGGCCTTCGGGGCGGGGCTCTCGGGGAGGGGCGGGACTTCCGAGAAGGGGTGGTGCTGCCGGCGGGGCGGGGCTACCGGTGGGGGGGCGGGGCTATCGGCGGTACGTGACTTGTGGACTAGGGCCACGGGAGGGGGCGTGCCCAGGGCGGGCCCGAGAGGCCGAGCGTCCCGGTTGGGGGCGTGGTAAATGATCGGGGCGGGGCCGGGGCGGGGCCGGTTCCGCGGAGGTGCGCTGTCCCAGCACCGCGGCTGGGAGCCTCGTCGTGCGGGTGGCGCGGACTCCTTAACTACAGGACTCACTCCCCCAGGTGAAACTAGCAGCTCTGGACTGTGTCGTTGCCACAATTATCTACGGCTTTTCCTATGCTCCCTCTTGGAAAACCACATCCTCCCAATCATCTGCAATTGATCAATTTTGGTGATGAAATGCACATATGCTTTCGCCACTTTCATGGTCCCTGCGCCCAGTTAAGCGCCATCAAGCACATGCGCGCACAATCCAGCTCCAGAACTTGTTTCTCTCTCCCATTAAACACTAACCCTAGGGCGGGGAGGGTGCTCAGCCTGCATGAATCCTTAATTCCACCCTGGCTCCACTTCCCTCCCACCAGTACTGGGGACAGTGGGGTGCTGAATCCCTGATGGAGCCTCCTATTTTTAAAAACTACAGGTGCCAGAGTGACAGTACAGCAGGGAGGACGTTTGTCTTCAACACAGTGGAACCAGCTTCCAGTGATCCCTGAGCGCACAAACCAGAAGTAAGCCTTGAGCACTGCCAGATGTGGCCCCAAAACCAAAATAAATAAATAAATAAAAATTGAAAAGGACAGGCCTGAGAGGTCAAAGTGATAGTATAGCTGGTAGAGTGCTTCCCTTGCACACCGCAGACCCAGGTTCCATCCCGGGCATTCCATATGGCTCCTGAAGCCACACAGTGAATGATTCCAGAGAGCAGAGCCAGGAAGAAGCCCTGAGCAGCACCGGGTGTGGCTCCAAAACCAAAATATAATAGCACTGTCCTCCCGTTGTTCATTGATGTGCTCGAGCAGGCCCAGTAACATCTCCGTTGTGAGACTTGTTACTGGTTTGGGCATATCAGATACGCCACAGGGAGCTTGCCAGGCTTTGCTGCGTGGGCGAGATACTCTCGGTAGCTTGTCGGGCTAATAATAATAATAGACTGAGGATACAGCTTCAGGCTCCAAGTTAGATCCCCACAATCACAGCTTCAGCCCAGCATTGCCCTAGCAAAGGCACCTCAGAGACAGTTGTGTTTGGCCCCTCTTTTGCTTTTGGGCCATACCAGGTGGTGATCAGGGAAGATTCCTGGCTTTGTACTCAGGAATCAGTCCCGGTGGGCTCAGAAACCATATAGGGTACAGGGGATCAAACTGGGGGTGACTGTGTGCAAGGTAAGCACCCTCCCTGCTGTGCTATCTCTCTGGCCCCATATGTTTGGCCCCTCTTTAAAAAAACAAACTTTTTAAAAAAGCAACATTAAATTCCCATGCCTCTGCCAAACCAGCTTTTACTTCTCTCTCTATGAGTTTGACTTCTCCATATAAATGGAATCAGGTCCTTCATTATGTTGCAATTAACTATGTTGTAGCCAGTCTCAGAAGTTCCTTCCTTTTGAAGGCTGAATAATATTCATTGTGTGGCTAGACCATATGCTATTTCTTTGTTCTTGGATCCATAGTAAACCCCAGTTACTTTTTTTGCTATTGAAATGTCTTCCTTCAAATGACCTGAATCTTGTCTTCTGCTTCCTTTGCAAAATGTTAGTTCACTGAACAAGTATGTCGGACCTGCTCTATGCCAGGCACTGGCTAGGCTCTGAACCCTGACCTGTCCCAGGCGATCATTCTGAGGAGGACTGTCTATTCCTGGGAGAGAGGATGAAAATAAGACTGGAGTAATAGGACAGCGGGGAAGGCATTTACTTTGCATGCCATCGACAAGGGGTTCAATCCCTGGCACCACATCTGGTCCACTAAGCCCCACCAGAAGTGATTCCTGAGCCTGATCAGAGCCAGGAGAAAACCCTGAGCACTGCCTGATATGGCCCCAAAGCCAAAATTAAGAAGGATAATAATAAAAGAAAGCAAGAGCAGGGTTGCAGAGCACTATCTAGTAGGAGGTGTGTAAGGGACAGCTGCTTCTGCCTCTGTTTCAGCCTCAGTTTCCCTCTGTAGCCTGGAGGCCGAAAGTCCAGCGCTAAGGTGCAGGGAAGGTTTTGGGGGCCCTTGATGTCCCACACCCGTGTCTGATATCTGCATTCTCTCTTGTCCACTCTAGGTCCTCTGAGCAGCCAGAAGGATTTGTCCTGAATTGCAGGCCCAATGACCAACACATGTCCCTATTTAAAAGCCTCTGGTTTCTCTCCACTGCCTTTTGTTTTTAGAGGGCCATACCAGGTGGTGCTCAGATATGACTCCTGGCTCTGCCCTCAGGGGTCACCCCGGGCGGGGCTCAGGTCCTAGGGATCATGCTTGACTTGGCTGCATGCAAGGCAAACACTCTCTGGCTTTTGAAAATATCTATTATGTTCTCCTATAGCCACATTTTTTCTTTTTTCTCCTTGTGTGCCACGTCCATACAAGTGTCCATACCACAAACATAGATCATGCAAAGTTTATCCCTCCCTCTCTCCTCCCCCTCCCTCCTTCCCTCCCTCCCTCCCTCCCTCCCTCCTTCCTTCCTTCCTTCCTTCCTTCCTTCCTTCCTTCCTTCTTTCCTGCCTTCCTTCCTGCCTTCCTGCCTTCCTGCCTTTCTCCTTTTTATCTTTATTGGTGCAGGGGCCATACCTGGCGATGCTGGGGGCTAGGATCACTCCCTTGTTTGTGGGTTACCAGCAGGGCTACTTCTAGCGGTGCTTGGGGGCAGGCAGTGCCAGGGATCCAACCCAGAGCCTCATAGATAGTGCGATGTACCCCTTGAGCCATACCCCCAGCTCTGTACTTGTTTCAATATGCAACACACACACACACACACACACACACACACACACACACACACACACACAAGGCCAGAGACATACTTCAATAGTAGAGTGTGTGTCTTGCATGTATGAAGTCCTGGGTTTGGTCCTTGGCACCAAAAACTAAATATAAACACATATACATATATCACACAAGTCATAGTCACACACACACACACACACACATACACACACTGTTGAACTGGTCTAACCACACTCGCTTTTGCCCCTGAGTGGCTTCTGACAATCTCCCAAGGACACAATTCTCCCAGTTTATCAATGTGGTCATCACACAGGGGCACTGAGCCCAGACCACAGCTGCCGCCCACCTCTGCTCCCTGTTCAGACTCTAGGCAGCCCCACTGGCATCCTTTACTGCCTGGTGTCCAGGCAGACAAGGGCTTTGCCTTGGCCAATGGCTCTTGCGCCTCTACTGACGGAGACTGTGTCAGAAGGCCTGGAATTTTTCCAAACACCCAGGTTTTCTCTGGAGATGAAGTGCGTCTGCGTCCCTTGGGTGGTTCCCTCATGAATAATTCGGATGACTAACTGAGCTGGAACTTCCACATGCAATTCTCTGTGTAATTTCTCTGAGGATTGAAACAAAGCCCAGATGAACAAGCCTGGGTGTTGGCTGGTCCCCTGCTGGGCCTTGCTGGTTGGGCCCACAGTTAAGTGGGTGTCTGGTATCTTCATTGGAAAGACTCCTCTCCACTCCCAATCCTCCCCACAGAGACCGTTTACTCCATAAATGTTTCTGAAGAAGGATGTGTTCAGTGTGTGACTTTTATCCTGTTTCAGTCAAGCAGGCGTTGAATCATGTCAAAACATGATTTTGGGGACTGGAGAGATAGTACAGTTTCTCTGCATGAGGCTGACCCAGTTTCAACGCCCAGGTCCCCATCGGATCCCTTGAGTCCTGCCAGGAGTGATCCCTGAGTGCAGAATCAGGAGTAA